TATCTACCCCACACCCCCCCCCCCCCCCCCCTAATTGAAACTAAGGTGAAAGAGAATGACAGAGTTTTTGATGTTGATTGCTTGCCACTTGCTAGTGATATTTTTCAAAAATTAATTAGTCTTTATTTTCATTTTTATAGTATTAGAGATCCCAAAATAATGTATATAAGTTGAAAGTAATAAACAAATTTTGTAAAGTTGTTTTAGAATCTATAATCCACTTTTGTAAGAGATCGTACAATAAAATGGGGAATGACCAAATTGCTTAAAATAATCATAACGCACAATTCTCATCTTCTTTTATGATTTTCATAGTTACTGTCGGCACTGAACTTAAAAAGAATGGGTTTCAAGTGGTGTTTAGGACTAATTTGTGTGATTTCAGGTGGTTTCAACGGAAGCCAGAGCAATGTACAATGTGGGGTTGGCGGGTTTGACTTATTGGTCGCCAAACATAAACATATTTAGGGATCCAAGATGGGGAAGAGGACAAGAGACACCAGGGGAAGACCCTTTGCTAAGTAGCAAATATGCAACAGGATACGTGAAAGGTCTTCAACAAACTGATGATGGAGACTCGAACAAGCTCAAGGTTGCTGCTTGTTGCAAACACTACACAGCCTATGATTTGGATAACTGGAAAGGTGTTCAGCGTTACACCTTCAATGCTGTGGTAATCTACTACATTTGATTAAAACTCAACGAGTTAATGTGATTTCTGTAGAGATGTTAATGCAGAAAAATCATTTTGTCACCCCTTCTTATCTGTTTAATTTGTTAGGTGACACAACAAGATTTGGATGACACATTCCAACCACCTTTTAAGAGCTGTGTGATTGATGGAAATGTTGCTAGTGTCATGTGTTCCTACAACCAGGTTAATGGAATACCAACCTGTGCAGACCCTGACCTCCTTAAGGGGATTATCCGAGGCAAATGGAAATTAAATGGGTATCATTAATTTCTAAATCTTATATACTTAGGCAGGGTTAACGGATCATGTTTGTTAATTTAGTAATTTACAATGATATGAATATTTGGCGTATGCAGATATATAGTTTCTGACTGTGACTCGGTAGAAGTGCTTTTCAAAGATCAGCACTATACCAAGACTCCTGAAGAAGCTGCAGCCCAAACCATTCAGTCAGGTAAGAAAATATGAGAAGACTAATAAATTGGGATAGTTATTTTCAGAAGTTTTGGTTTGCACAACAAATTGTGCAATATACCTGGTTACTTATATTTGGTTGCACAGGGTTGGATTTGGACTGTGGAAATTATCTAGGCCAATATACAGAAGGGGCAGTGAAGCAAGGGCTTGTGGATGAAGCATCCATCAACAATGCTGTCTCCAACAATTTCGCTACATTGATGCGTCTTGGTTTCTTTGATGGTGATCCAAGCAAGCAGCCTTATGGAAACCTTGGTCCAACGGATGTATGCACTTCAGCGAACCAGGAACTCGCTCGTGAAGCTGCAAGGCAAGGGATTGTGTTGCTTAAAAATAGTCCAGGATCATTGCCTTTCAATGCCAAAGCCATTAAATCATTGGCAGTCATAGGGCCCAATGCTAATGCTACCAGGGTCATGATTGGAAACTATGAAGGTATTAATTAAAATTTCCTACTCCTATATTAGGCCTCGTATGAAAGTCGGGTGCGAAATTTTTTCAGGTCACTGACTGTTACAGTATCAAGATCGTGATTATTCTGACTCTTGTGGGTTAGGGATACATGTGGTAGGACAGAAAAATGTGTAACGTTGGGAACTATGCCAAATTTGGGAAATGTATTAACTGTAGGCAAAATTTAACAAATGGCTTGTTACTATTGTTGAGCACTTTTTTCTCTACCTTGTGTTTAACACCACATTTGATCAGTTCCTGAAATTTTGCAGGCATTCCTTGTAAATATACATCACCTTTGCAAGCCCTAACAGCCTTGGTTCCTACGAGCTATGCTCCTGGCTGTCCGGATGTGCAATGCGCGAATGCGCAGTTAGATGATGCCACAAAGATAGCAGAGTCTGCAGATGCAACAGTGATTGTAGTGGGTGCAAGTCTTGCTATAGAGGCTGAAAGTCTTGACAGAATTAACATTCTTCTACCAGGACAACAACAACTTCTAGTGAGTGAAGTTGCTAATGTTTCCAAGGGACCTGTGATTCTTGTCATAATGTCTGGTGGAGGCATGGATGTGTCCTTTGCTAAAAATAATGATAAAATCTCAAGCATCCTATGGGTTGGTTACCCTGGCGAAGCTGGTGGAGCTGCCATAGCTGATGTGATTTTTGGCTTTTATAATCCCAGTAAGTCATTCACAATTTGTCTCACTTATACATATATAAAAAAGTAAATTACACTAATACTTTCTGAAGTTATTTGATATTGTGTTGATACCATTTTTTTTTTTTTTTTTTTTTTTTTTTTTTTTTTTTAACGTTTACAGCAACCTTCTTACAAATGTTATGTAATATTTTTTTAAATAATTAAGAAAGTTATTGTAGGGTAAAAAAAGTAGGGAATGTTTGTGTAATCTCATGAAATGATACAACTTTTGGCACTGATGGATGATTTCCTGATGCAGGTGGAAGGCTACCAATGACATGGTATCCACAATCATATGTAGACAAGGTGCCAATGACAAACATGAACATGAGGGCAGATCCTGCTACAGGTTACCCTGGAAGAACATATAGATTCTATAAAGGTGAAACTGTTTTCTCCTTTGGAGATGGAATAAGCTTCTCAAGTGTTGAGCACAAAATAGTTAAAGCACCACAGTTGGTGTCTGTTCCCCTAGCAGAGGATCATGAGTGCCGCTCCTCAGAATGCATGTCACTTGATGTTGCTGATGAGCATTGCCAAAACTTGGCCTTTGATGTTCACCTTGTGGTCAAGAACATGGGCCAAATGAGTAGTAGCCATGTAGTGTTGTTGTTCTTTACTCCTCCTTCTGTGCACAATGCCCCTCAGAAACACTTGTTGGGTTTTGAGAAAGTGCACTTGGCAGGAAAATCAGAAGCACAGGTTAGGTTCAAAGTAGATGTTTGCAAGGATTTGAGTGTGGTTGATGAGCTTGGCAACAGGAAAGTTCCACTGGGACAACATATGCTTCATGTGGGAAACGTGAAGCATCCTTTGGGTGTGAGGATTTGAAAAAAGTCTTTAAATCCTCTGCTCTCATCTTTTTTTTTTTTTTTTTTTTTTTTTTTTTTTTTTTCCTCATTTTTCCTCGTTGGTTTTCTCGGAGAATTCTTCCAGGAGACCAGAAATAAGTCAGAGGTAACTGTAACAAAATTCTCTGATTTGTATTATCATATTCAAATCACAAATTTGAAATCAAAATCAAGTTTTCATTAGAGCCCACATTATATGATTTGATCTAGTAAATGGTTTGTTCTCTAATTCATCAGCAGTATCTCTATTTTGTAGTTCTATTTTGTAAAATAAATAATCATGTAGAACAGAACTACGGGCCATGCTTCTCTTCATGAAGAGCTTCAAAATAGGACCAATCATAAGAACAAAATATTTAAGGAATACAATCCCAAAACCTCTGAAGTGAACTATTTGGCTATTCTAATCTAATAATGATCTCACTGAAAATTGATGATATGGCGAAAAGTCAAACATTTAAAACCCTCCCAAAATGTGAAAGTACTGTTGAAATTGTCAAAATAAAAATAAAACAAAACTTAGTTGAAGTAAGCTTGTTTATTATTAGAAGATAACAAAGGTGATTAAAGAAGATAGGTGAAAGAGTGAAAGGCATGAAGGGTGGCTAGGTGGTGGAATGAATCCTATGCTTTTGAAGCGCAGCAATGAGTTCCTGAATGTAGTGATTATGAAGTTCTTTGGAGCTGAAAACCTTCCCCAACTCCTTGGCATTCTCTCTGAGACTACTCCCCTCCTCATCCACTATTGCAAACCTCAATGTCTTAGCCACAGACTCCCTTGTAAACGACCCATCTTGCTCGTTTCTTGGCACCTCAACAGCCACTTTCTTTTCCTCTAGCGCCCTTGAAAACAGGGCTTGGTCAAGCAAATAAGGCAGTGTAACAAGCACATGCCCGAAATGAACCTTCTCAATGGCAGACCCAGAGCCACAGTGACTGACGCAACCCCCAATTGCTCCATGGGCCAAGATCTTAAGCTGGGGGGCCCAACTCTTCCAAACAATCCCACGTGCCTTGGTTCTCTCCTCGAACCCCTCCGGCAACTCCAGCTTCCCCTCTTCCAGATTCTTCAAGGCCCAAAAGAAGGGCAGCCCTGAAAGCTCAATGCCATGAGCCAACTCGGTGAGGTCCTCCTGACTCAGCTTCAACTCGCTCCCAAACCCAATGTACACCACCGACGTGGGCTCTTGTGAGTCCAACCAGGCCTTGATTTTGACCCACTCAGGGTTTCTGTCTTCCTCTTCATCATCCCTTATTTGCATGGAGGGTGGAAGCAGCCCCACAGGAACCACCGGCACTTTGTAGTTGCCAGCAAGATAATCCAACCACTCTCCTTCAAGCTCTCTGGAGGTTCTGAGGATAAACATGTCACAGCTTGAATAAGCTTTGTTGAGATCAAAATTAGCCCTTTCTCCTGTCTCCTCGTCCCTGGTGTTGTTCCATGCTCTCAAGAACTCATATGGCTTGGTATGAAGGGTTGTGCGGAAAGGAAGCCAGGTGGGAGGGCCACATATGGTTTGGATGGAGTAATCCTTCATCTTATCCTTGGGTGGGTCAAAGAAAACTTTGTTCCAAGCTGGGGTTATGTTGTAATGCGCGCAGGGAATGTTGAGGCTCTTGGCTATGGGGGGCACCCACGAAGCTGCAAAGTCGTACAAGACCCAATCAGGCTTAGAGGTTTTGAGCAACTCGGATACATCATCTTGGAGGCCCTCGTAAGCCTTCTTGAGGAAACAGTTCTTGGTAGTGGGAATGTCCATCGTGCTCTCTGCACCTTCTGGGAGTTGCTCTATGTGTGGTAAGGGGAGTCCCACCAGTTTGATGAATGGTTCTAAGCTTTTGGGGGTTTTGGGCATGCGATCAATGTTTTTGGGGGTGCTTATGAAGGTCACATACTGACCCTTTTGAGCAAGAATCTTGGCCACCTCGAAGTACGGGTATATGTGACCCATCGCCAGCCATGGGAGCATGGCAACGTGAAGACCCTTATCCATTTTGCCATTGCCATTACATGAAACTGAATCCATGAGGACTGCTGTTTTTGTTTCAGTTGCCAATGCTAGATTGTCATATAAATACTTGCTAAGGATGCACATCTCAAGTAAAGTGACACTTATGCGTGGTCCGAATGTTCATATTTTTTTATTTAATCCAAGAAAACATAAAGATAATCAATTTTATTAGAGAGAATCTTTCTAATTTTTTCAGGTTATATTAATCCTTCCCTTAATTTTAATTCGATACTTTTGTTGTTAAAATGTCTAATTTTATCAATATTAGATTTCATTCTCGTTAAGTTTTGAATTTGAGTTTTACACACACATATATATAATGTGATTAAAAGAAGAAATTTCATTAAAAAAATTAATCAAAATTTTCAACAGAATTTATTAATAAATTAAGTTAATAGATATTTTATACCATAACATAATTAAAATGATGATCTGATTTAACTTCTTAATTTTTTAAAATGATGTAACTTGATATTTTTTGTTCAACAGAATTGCAACCTTGCGTGCACCACGCACCTAATATAATAATATTATAATTCATTGTCTCGTTACCTTTAGTGATTCAAATATTATTATATAATACATAATGAAACAAAAAAAATCTTACCAGTGCCACGCGAACCACGCAGCTGTTATTTTATTTCCAAAATCTGTAATCTTTGAATTAGGGTGGATATCCGTGGGATGCGAAAATGAATATTTTTTTTTTCCTCCCTGGAGTATACACTGTCCATAGCAGTGACTAATCTTCTCAAAGGATGGGATAGCTGGCTCTAAGATTTAACGCGACTGTATACACAAGGTAGGATTCGAATCCCTGACCTTACTTAAGTGTGAATCAACCCTTATCGCTGAACCACACATTTGGGATTGCACCAATGAATATATAAATGTATAGGATAAAATTTTATAATATTAAAAGTATTTTATTATTGCATGAAATTATAAAATTTAATAATTATAAAATAAGCATCCAAATAAGAAGAGTATAAAATTTGTATGTAAAGTAAATGTGATATAATTATATATATTTCACATATGAATGTATGAAGTGAGTTAATAATTTGAACTCAAAGATTATATAATAATGATTAGAATTTTATATTAGAGTGATATTACTTTATTATACAATAAATGTAATTATGATAAGTTTAGTAGCAACATTTTCTCTTTCGTCATAATTATTTTTTAATAACATTTTTTAAAATCATGTATAAATTACTTTGTAACAAAGATAATTCTTGCAAGTTAATATTTTTTTACATGTTAAAACAGTTTTATAATTAATCTTTTAACATAGGCTCAAATTTATATTTATTTGAATAAATATTTTAAGTTAATCACTTTGTAAGGGAATGTTTTAGGTAGATTTATATAAAGAAAATTTGATTATAAGCTTTGTGTTTGAGAGTGTAAGCTGATTGAATTCAGTCGAGTTTGGATGAATCCGTTACTTATTTAATCAAAATTTAATATGTTGAATTGGACTGAGTTTATGTATTTTTCTTTTAAATCCAACCCAATTCAGCTCGTGAATAAGTTGGATTAGATTGGGTCAATCATGTCAATATAATTAAATTTATCTCTTAATAAAAATTTAAACATTTTATATAGATATAAATTATTTGATATCTTATTATAAGTATAAATTGTGTAATGTTATCAGTTGATAGAACAAATAATAATACAAACTAAATTTTAAAATAAACTTATTAATTAGTACATTGTTATTGACTAAAAAAATTAAAATTGATTTAAAATAAATATGTTGCATTATTAAAATGTTATTAACCTAAAAGTAAGAATGATAAAAATATTATCTTGAATAAGTGTATTAATTAGTACATTGTTATTAACTAAAAAAATTAAAATTGATTTAAAATAAATATGTTGCATTATTAAAATATTATTAACCTAAAAGTAAGAATGATAAAAATATTATATTGAATAAGTGTATTAATTAGTACATTGTTATCAACTAAAAAAAATAAAATTGATTTAAAATAACTCATAATTTTTATTTTTATTTCTCTTTAATATCATATATTTCTTTTTCCTACATGTACACACAGATGATAAGCAACTTATAAGAATAAGCAACTCTATTTAATTTTAAGCAACTCAAAATTATATATATGTGACATATAGAAAATAACATTGTATTATTAAGGAATTTCCATTAGAGATCTTCTAATGATATTTGTTGAATTTTAACAATCTAATAATTAAATTAAAAGTGTTTATTGAATAGATATAATATATAATATATTTTTATAAGTACAAGTTAATTTGAATTTATGTAATAAAATATGAAGTATTTTTAAAATTTTGTAAAAAATTATAAATTTCATCTATTATGATAAATTTTTAAGTTAATAATTAAATTATTAAAATTTAATATATATTTTAAATTATTGTAACAACAGTTATTCTTGAAAATATTATTCTCAACATATATACATAAGCATTATTAAAGATGTTTATAAAATGATCCAATATTTAATAAATTACAAAAATCAAATAAATTATTTTTTTAATAAATCTGACTAGAAATGTTAATATTATTTTAACTATTAATTTATAACTCAAATTTTATGTTTTTGAAGGATGTATCACCGATAACTTTTGGGTTTATAAAAGAAGTTAAATTGGTTAATTTTAATTAATAATGTTATAAAATTTAAATATATTTAATAAGATATTCACAGAATTAAACGATTTAAGTGATGATATTACTCAACAATTTAAGAGACTATTTTTTAACTAACGAGTGTAACTTAGTACGTGTTTGATTAAAATTTAGTATAATTGGTAAAGTCTCGTTCAACCTAAAATTACCCTTTCTAGCTTCCAAAATTTACATCAAAAGCACAAGCTCAAAGGAGAAGTCACAAAATCAATGTGGAACCAAATAGACTCTTATACTATAAAATCCCTAATAAGTGTTTTATTAATAAATATTAGGTTAAAAATTTAATTTGGTCTTTTATAATATTTTAAAATTTTAATTTAGTTTCATTTTAAACTTTAGTTTCAATTTGGTCCCTAATAATTTAAATTACTGCAATGTTGGACTTCCATTCAAATTTCTTTAACGTCGTTTGGACATTTTTCATGTAGAAAAAAATAAAAATATGATAATTTTTCACGTGGCAAGGGTCCCATACGTATGTCATGTGTTAATTTTGCATCTAGAACGGCTCATTCTGCTTGTACTTGTTGTGTGTTAATTGTGCATCTGGAACGGGCTGTTCCATATGGTTTAAGAACGAGCCGTTCTAGATGCAAAATTAACACACGACGAGTGTAATTAGAACGGGCCATTCTAATTTTAAAACGGACCGTCCCAGATGCATTAAAGAAGGAGGAGGAAACCTTGTCACATATACATCTACGTGGCATCCACGTCGTCCACATTTAACACCGTTTGTGAAATTTGGACCGAAGTCCCACATTGATGTGTTTTTAAATTATTGGGGATTAAATTGAAACAAAAACTAAAGTGAAACGAAATTAAAATTTTTAATTATTATAGCCTAGATTTTATAATAAATTAGTATAAGTAGTTATGTATTTCTCATAATTAAGGGAAAAATATTCTTATTTATAAATGATAGGAAATAGTAGTAATTATTTTATGATTTGTAGGACTATATATTTATAATTTATATTATATTTAGTGTATCTTTCAAGATTTACTTATTCCATCCTCAATTTTTTTTAAAAGGATATAAATAATGAATACAATCTTTTGATTGGATAAATTTATAATTTATTATTAATAGAATTGTGAAAGTTAGTCAATTTAACTCATTCGAATTGTTCTATCACAAACTAACAAAAAGTAAAAAGTTAAAAATAGTCAACTTTAGTGTAACTCATCACAAATTCCTGAATTGTACAAGTTGATTCCCCTAAAACGAAAAAAAAAAACCGTATAAAAGTAAAAAAATACCAAAAAAATATATAAAAGTAAAATGACGGTGGTAAAAATTGGGGGCACTTAAACAAAACCAAAACATTAATAGGTTTATTATAAATTGTGTCCCGTTGTCAGATATAGGCAAATATGTAAGCGCATATATATGATTTTAAAACTAATATTCATCTTCCAATTCTATCTTTATATAAAAGTCAAGCTAGTGGAATAAATATTTTATTATTATTATGAGAATAAAATTAAATAACTAGGTTTATAAATTATTTGATAAATTAAATTTATTTAAATAAATTTCTCCATAAATACTTCTAAATAAAAGAAATAAATGAAATAAATTTCTTTTATAAGCTTCAATTAATTTATAAATAAGTTAATTTGTATAAATTATTTCCTTTAACTCTTTCAAAATCTTATTTTTAACTTATGTATAAGGTAATTTTTTCTTATAAAAAAAATTATTAAAATTTTTCTTCTTATTTTTTTACTAAATAAGTTATTAGTGAAAAAAAAAACTTATATCTCATGAATCAACCATATTCGACATAAGATAAGTAACTTAAATTCAACCCGATTATATATTATATATTAATAGAGTAAATATATGTTAATAGTAAATATTATTTCATAATTTATAATATATTTATAGTATATAAAGTTATTAAACATATTTTAAATTTATATGATATTAAATAATTTAGTCATATTAAAAATATTTTTATTGTATCTAATTAAATTAAATACATGTTATAATATGCAGTTTTTAATGATGTACAATATGCATAAATTCAATGTAAAATAAAAGTGACACAATTATAGAAGTTAAAACTTATTTCATGGTGTTCTAATTTGCGGAGATAGTCAAAGTTTTTTTTTTTTTTTTCCTTGACACCAAACATAAAAATGTTCATTTTCAATTGGAATTTCTTCAGAATTTAAGAATTTTTGTGCCAAGTAAGAAAAATGGTTTCAGAGTGATGTATCCCTAATTTGTTAACGAGTGAACCAGGTCAAATACACATTTACTCAATCCCTATGTATACTTATGATTGTAAAGAGAAGAAACAAAATCTTGAATGTATTGGTGATGTAGCTCTTTGTTGCTAAATTTCTTGCCAATCTCCTTAGCATTGTTCCTATAAGCACTTCCCTCCTCATCCACCACTGCCAATCTCAATGCCTTGGCCACTGAGCTCCTTGTGAAGGACCCGTCTTGCTCATTCCTTGGAATCTCAATTCCCACTTTCTTCTCTTCCATCACTCTAGAATACAAAGCTTGGTCTAGCAAGAAGGGCAACATTACAAGAACGTGTCCAAAGAGGAGATTCTCAATCATTGAACCCGAACCACAGTGAGTCAAGCAACCACCAACCGAGTCATGAGCCAAGATCTTAGGTTGTGGTGCCCAACTCCTCCAAACAACACCACGATCCTTGGTTCTCTCCTCAAACCCTTCTGGCAACTCAAATGATCCTTTCCTCAAAACCCAAAAGAAAGGCAACTTTGAAAGCTCAATGCCAAGTGCCAACTCATTGAGATTCTCTTGGCTAAGTTTAACTTCACTCCCAAATGCAATATACACCACTGATGACCCTTTTTGTGTGTCTAACCATGCCTTGATTTGAATCCAATCGGGGCTGTTATCTTCCTCATCAGAGTCTTTTACTAGCATTGGTGGTGGAAGCAACCCAACGGGCACAACAGGCTTGTGGTAAAAGTCACCAAGGTAATCCAACCACTCTTGTTCAAGATCTCTCGAGCTTCTAACGACAAACATGTCACAGCCAGAGTTTGCTTTGTTGAGATCAAAGACAGGCGAGGCACCCGTCTCATTAACCTTGACATCTTCTAACAACTTGTTGACCTCATAGGGTCTTAGGCCAATGTTTGTAGAGAAAGGAATCCACTTGGGAGGGCCATAGTAGTCTTCAGGGTTTGGTCTAGTGGCAGCATCATCACCAAGTTGTTGTTTTGGTGTGTCAAAGAAGCATATGGTCCATGCAGGGCAGGGACTAAAATAGGCACATGGAATGTGTAGGGTCTTGGCTAGTTGTGGAATCCAGCTAGCTGCGAAATCATAGAAAACCCAATCAGGGTTTGATGTTTTGAGTACCTCGAACATAGGTTGTTGGAGAGCATCATAGGCCAATTTGAGGTAGTAGAGTTTGTCGGAGGGAATGTCCATAGTGGAGTCAGCATCTTGTGGGAGATGGTTTTTGTCGATGTGGGGTGATAAGGGCAATTTGGTTAGTTTGATAAGGTTTGACAAGGTTTGAGGGAGTTTGGGCAAACGATCTATTATCTTAGGGGTGGATACAAGGGTGACATAGTGACCCTTTTGAGCAAGAATCTTGGAAACCTCGAAGCAGGGGTATACGTGACCCATGGCTAGCCATGGAAACATCACAATGTGGAGAGGCTTGGGGGTCTTGGCATTCGATGACTCATCCATCGTTACTTTTCTATGTATCATACTATCATCCGTGTTGTGCTTTATATATGTAAAATTGAATCCATCAGGAAGATGCAATGATGCATAGAAAAAAACATGCATGTGAACCACGCAACTATTATTTTATTCCCGTTAATTAAGCACACATACTATAATGGAAAAAGAGAGATTGTGAATGGTTCCCACAAAAAATGCATGGTCGTATAACATTGCGCATCTCATTTTCAGATCCAAATGACTTGTTCTTTTTGAGTTAATATCTACAAACCAAAAAAATTTAACAAATAGAGAGAAAATGTTTACCTTTTTATTTTATAATGATTATTTTAAAATTAATCCTTAAAATAATTTATTATTAGTTACTAGTAATTGATTATATATATATATATATATATATTATTGTTTTTAAAGAAAAACTCGCTTAGACTTATTTTACTCATTAATTTATGTTTTTTTATTATTAAATTTTAACGATTTAATTAATACATAAATTAAATTTATAAATTTTTAAAAATTTACAAATTATTTAATACTTTATTTTATTTATTCAAACTAATAGATAATCATAAAAATATTTTATGTGTTGATTTAAATTAATAAAATATATTATTAAATAATTTTCAAATGTTGTAAAATCTTATAGACTTGATATATTTACAAAGAATATTTAATTTAATAGTTACATTATTAAAATTTAATATAAACTCTAAATTATTGAGTGAAGTAACTCTATTAAAAGTTACTTTTGAAGTAAATAAATTTTTTTACAAATTTTTAAAAATATTTTTACCTCTAAATAGTAAAAACGCCTGCACATTACATGCCACATAATTAAGATCAAAGAAACGGAAAAAATAAGAGTGTAAAAGATGAAAGAAATTACATTTGATTATTAAATTTTATATGAATGGTCTGTATAATATTATTTTAAATATATAATTAAGTTGTATGATTAAGATTTATTTCCCTCGCATGATCACATGTTTTCGCTACATATATATAACAAAAGATCAATTTACATATGATTAACAATTTATATTAATCCTCACAACAAGCATAACTTTACCTACAGTAAATTGTAGGTTATTGAGTAAAATAACTTACTAAGAATTATTCTTAAAATAAATAAATTTCTTTTCAAATTTTTCAAATGGATAAAAATCTTAAAATAATATTTAGGATGGGTAAAAATGTCTTTAAAACAAGACTTTTAAAGTGAAATTCGTATTTAAAAGTACGACTTTTGCTTTTAAAAAAAAATTAAAATTATGTTCTAAAACACAAAAAATTTGGCAACCATTCACGAAAACAGTAAGCACGTTCAGTTGACCCACCTTGAATCGTGGCGGAACACTTTTTGGAACCAGTATCGATTGAAAGACCAACATCAAAGTAAATTCCTATACTAAGAAAATATAATTAATCATGGTGTTTAATCAATCAAAGCTCAAGTGAGAAGCACCCTAAGCCCACCAAGCCCATTAGACCCACTAAGCTCTGAAGCAGTCAAATCTTCAAGTAACTTTCTGGCCATAACTCTAGTGGTTGGGCCTTTAGCCCATGCTCTTCCATCAGTTGAAGGCTTTTTAAGGGTGTGTTTGGTGATCTGTAAAAATCGTGGCCCAATCACTTTACTTTTTGGAGCCGGTACCGAATGGCTTTTAAGCTGTGTTTAATTACCTGTTTAAAAACATTGGAATGTGTGTTTCCATATTTCAAAATTTAAAAGAATAATAAAATTATTATTTTGAGGTGGAAATGAGTTGGATTAAACTCAACTTTTATTCAAATAAATACTGAATACTCTTATTAGTGAGTTAAAAAAAAGGTTGTGACAAAATTGACAGTTCCACGTGACTCATGGTTCACATTGCCATGTAAATAGATTTTTAGCAACTAATGTTCATTGCAAATATTGCATTTAAAATTTAAAAAAAAAAGTTAGGTAAACACTAAACAAAGAAAGAAAATATGAACATTATTAGTCCATTGTTGGAAGCAAGCAAAAACAAACAATTTTCCAAGGTAAACTGACTAGAGCATTCAGACAATTTATAGCATCAAATAGTTAAAAAAATATTTAAATATATTTTTAGTTACTCAAATTTGAATATATATGTATATTTTTTTTTATTTTCAAATTTAAAATTTATATTTTTAGTTTTTATAGCTTTTCTAAAAAAAATTATTTTGATTCTTTAAATTTAAAGTTTTCATTATATTAAAAACTATTATTTTAACTCCACCAATTTATCCAATCAATTATAATATTAATGACTAAAATAATATTTTTTAAAACTATAGAGACTAAAAAAATAAATTTAAATTTAAAGAGAAAAAATAATAATTTTTTATATTTTAAGAATTAAAAACAAATTTTTAATTTGAAAAAAAAATATAGTCCAAATTTAGAGATCTAAAACACAATTAACTCGGAATGAAAATATTAAATCCCACATTAACACAGTTGGAAAATTCATCTACATCACCATTAGAAGATAGCATTAGTGCATTACAACAATATCTTACATATATTTAAGATTAGTAGTTGGAAAACCAAGTAATGTCAACTTAGTTTCCTGTTGCCTAACTCTTGAATTGCAGCAATTCATCCACAATTTTTTCCAAATTCAGAAAGGAAGAACCATTAGTGTTGGTAGCTTCTTCAGCCAATTTCTTCCACTCAGTTGCTTTTTTCTTCATCTCCTTACCCTTTTCACCCTCTAATAATTCCTTCACAAGATTTTCCACTTCACCCCTTGTAACATTATCACTATCCATCTCCATGCCAAAAGCCCATTCACGACAAATATACCTGCAATTGAGAATTTGGTCATTGAAAAAAGGACAACAAATCAGTGGCACCCCATTGGTTATGCTTTCAAGCGTGGAATTCCAACCACAGTGAGTCAAAAACCCTGCCACTGCAGGGTGCTTCAAAACTTGCTCTTGAGGACACCAACCCACCAATAAACCTCTATCTTTGGTTTCTTCTACTATTTCTGCTGGCAAGATTGAGGCCTCACCCTCAACTAAATCAGGCCTAATCACCCACAAAAACTTTTTCTTGCTATTTGATACTCCCCATGCCAACTCAACAAGTTGTTGGTGTCTAATGACAATAACACTACCAAAATTCACATAAAGAACCGAATTTGGTTCCTGTGAATCCAACCATTTGAGACACTCAGAATCTTCTTTCCACAAATTACATTTAATAGAGTCAAATGTGCTCTCTGAGGTTTTATCGAGGAGCAACTCCAGTGGGCCTATGGTGTAAAGTTTTGGAAACATTGTGGAGAGTGCATTCAGCACATCATGCTCCAATGCATCAAAAGTTGGCAAAATAATTGCCGAAGCTTTTGAAGCTTCTTCAGTTTGTTCTACCACAAAGTCCAAAAGTATGTCATTTGGATCTGTGGTTCGATAGATACCAGGAAGGTCCCTCAGATTGATATTCTTCATGCCAGGAATCCAGTCTATGACAGTGTCTAAATGCCCATTTGTCAAATAGTTTGCATCTGAAAAACAAGATCACAATGAAAAAAAAAATACATATAGAAATAAATCATATTATAATACTAAGTTGAATGAAATTATAATATGAACATGTTTGAATTCACATCAATAATTTTGGTTGTTGGATGTGAATTATTGATGTGAATTAGTGGAAGCAAAAATTAATTGCTTTTGCTTCGATTTTGATGGGATTCCTGTCTAAATGTGGATCATGATGTGAAACAAAACATGCAGTATTGTGAACATGCATGGTCTTGTAATATAACCTTTGAGTGGTATTAGGCCTCTGTCCATGAGATTCTTGCATTGTTTGAAGCTCATGAAGCCACAAGCACTGTGAGTCCAAAAGAGAATGTTGGGTAGCCCAAATTGGTGAGAAGCTTTGACTGTGAAGGACATGATGCCATCAGAGAAAATGCAAGTGACTGGAGGGGCATTTGAGTGATTAAGCTTTGAGATGAGATTGCAAAATGGGGTGAAGCAATTTTTTCTTGTGGAGTCACACAAGGCTGGAATGTTTTGAGTTGCATCCTTGTTGGTGGGAGGGAGACCATCAGGAATGGTCTCAAAGTGGAAATCTGGGAAGCCACTGAGGGCATTGGAGCCTCTAGAGTTGAGGAGGCGTTGGTGATTGAACTCAGTGTTCACAAAGGTTATGTGGAAGCCTTTACTGTGGAGGAGCTTTGCTAGTTTGAGAAAAGGGTTTATGTGACCTTGAGTTGGAAATGGGATCAGAAGAGCATGTGGCTTCTTGGTTACTGGTAGTGAATCCATGTCTGATGTGAATCAGTGTGTGTGCGAGATAGAGAGATGAAAGAAAGTGGTTAATGTTTTCAAAAGCTAAACCTCATGAGGTCATCCTTTTATGATTGTATCAACCGAAAGGATCCTCTCCAGTTCTGTAAAAACTTTGATGAAATTTAACCCTTTCATTAACCGCAGTATCTGTGTCCACCACTGACATCTTCAGACTCCGTGTACAAATTTGAGCCATAAGTCCTTCTAACTTTTTCTCATTTTATCTCCATCACCTGCGGATAAATTCATTTCATCACTTCCAGGTTAATCTTAATGTGTCTAATCAATAAAATTGATTTTAAGGAAAACCGACTTTGTACCTAGTTTTTAGTCAGTAATTTTAGCTATAACACTGCCTCTGTTCCTTTACCTATTTATAATATTTAATTTAAAATAATTATTTATTCATTTATATAATATCTAATTCATAGTATTTAAAATTAATTATTTTTATATTAAAATATTCTTAATTAAAAGATTTTTTTTATTTGTTGAGAATTGATATAAATTTTACTTATAATAACTTCAATAAAACTTGACTATAACATTTAGAATTATGTTTTTAATACATTACCAAATAATTATATTTGACTCATCCAAAATTCAAATTGAGCTATAGCAAACGTGAATTGAGGCAAATATTAAGAAGAAATTCATAGAGGGTGAAGTAGGGTGGAGGGGATTGGGGCATGTCTTTGAAAAACAAGTGTGTTCTTGTAAGGAACTTCCCTCAGCTGCAGGCTCAGAGGAATTTGATGTCACAAAATGGATTGAAAAGGAGTGCATCAATTCAACCTGCCTGTATTGAGACGTGACACATAAGTGCCTCTGCATGTAATACTGTAACTTAACTGTTGATTCTAATGGTGACACTTGGACTCGCTCGAGTATTAAGTATGTTTCAATAAACTTATAAAAAAAAAGTAAAATATTTCTTTTTTCATTTTTATAATTAGCTTAATTGTAAAGTCTTATCTTAACTTCTCTAAAATTTTAGTTTTAACTTATATAAGTTAATTTTAATCTACGTATATATTAATTTTTATTTATAAAAAATATTTCAATTTAATTTATTTTTTTAAGTTTTTCATCCGAACAAGATTTGCATCAGCTCTGTTTATCTGAGAAGAGATGAAATGAAAAAAAAAAAAGTGGTAATAAGATAAAAATGTTAAATTTTCATTGCAATCATAATATATATATATATATAATAAATAATTTTATGTTAAGAAAAATATTAGTTTAATAAACTATGTATTTTAATTGTTATTAATATTTCTATGTAATTATTGATTTGTTTTCACTTTCTTTTTCATTAATCTAAATAAGCAGAGCAAAATTATTTTATTTCTTTTTTATAAACCCTAAATAATACATCTATTTCATTTTATTACTCTTCTATTTGATATTTTTTTATTTTTTATTTCACTTCTAATTTCAACAACTACGAGGAAAGTTGAGAGGGAAACAGCACAACTCATGACTCATGACATTTGGTTTGGATTTTGGATTAATCTACTGGAATATGGCACATGCTTTGTGCGTGTAAAATGATGGAAAACAATTTATTAAATAAGATCTAGGTATAGCTTAGTATGTGTTTGGTTAGAAGTCTGGATGTGATTTATCATGTCAAAATGGAAATTATCAAATGTAACTTTTATATCATGCATGTGATTTTATGATCCAATCTAAGTTTTGGAGGTGTGCCCAAACATGCACTTAGTCACACTTTGGTCTCAATTTCAAAAAAGAAAAAAAAGTTACACTTGGGTTTCAATATCTATAGCATTCCTGGACCCCTTTTGTATTCCTTATTCAGGATGCATAAGTTGGAGCCAATTGGCCTAGGAAATAATATATCGTTTTGCATTTACAGAGATTGAGGTTTAACAGTTAAGTGGAATAAACCGGTCTTTTTATCTTTTTTTTTTTTGTATACCAGAGTGACTAATGCATCACCTAAAATCTTAGTCTGGGCCCTGGGGTGCCCAACTCTTGCAAGTTCCTCAAAGCCCAAAAGAAAGGCAACTCGGTTAGGTCTCAACTCACTCCCAAACCCTACTAAGTTTGTAATTGTCTTCCTCTTCATCATCTCTTATTTCTAAAGATGCTGGAATCAAACCCAACGGAATCACCCGCACCTTCTACCTGTAGGAGTCATCATAATAACCCATTATATATAACTGTTTTTTTATTATAATTTTTTTATATATAACAATTATCATCACTTAATATCAAATTAAAACTAGTTATAATTTCACTATAATCACCCTGATTATAAATAATTATTAGATAATTATAAATGTTGTTTGTCCTTTAAATTTAGAATAAATTCATTTTTAATTTTTAAAATTTAAAATTGATCTTTCTAATTTCAAGTAATTTTTTTTAAAAAAATATTATTTTAATTGCTTAAATCATCAATACCATAACTAATTCTGACATGTTGAAAATTATGCAGCATAAGTTAAATGTGTTTTGTTTTCATTAATAACAACATTAGTAAATTAATTTTATACAATAATATTTAAAAGATTCATTCATAAAATTTGAGCCAAAAGACTAAGATAAGAATTTCTTTTTCTAATTACTGGACTAAGAAAATTAAATTTAAATTTTATGAACCGAACGAAAATTGATCTCATTTTTAAGGAATAAAAATATAACTAATCCAAATTTATATACTCTTACTATAAACTACTGAGCACATGGGCGAAATATTTGGGCCTAACTAGTAATACTGAGTCTCGAACACTACACAATGATCGTAACTCAGCAAATAGGGTACCTGTTACTGTGAGCAAGATAATTTTAACCATTCTCCTTCAAGTTCAGAGAAGAAACATGTCACAGATGGAATAGGCATTGCTGAGATCAAAATTAGGCACTCGTCCGGTGTCAGCATCTTTGATAGCGTTCATTGCTCTCTTATGATAATCTCGTAAGGCCTGAGATGAACGTTTGTGCTGAAAGGAAGCCACGTGGGAGGGCCACAAATGCTTTCAAGTGTGAAATTTGAGTTGAGTAGATCCTTTGGTGGATCATACATCATAGAACACTTTGAGTTGAGTTGGAGGGCTTCGTAAGGCAACTTGAGGTAATAGCTTTTGCTAGTGGGAATGTCCATCGTGCTCTCTGCTCCTTCTGCCAGATGCTCTATATGTGGTAAGGGTAGTCTCACCAATTTGATGAATGATTCTAAGCTTTTGGGGGTGCTTATGAAGGTAACTAAGTGACCCTTTTGAGCATGAATCTTAGCCAGCTCCGAATAAGGGTTTATGTGACCATGGGAGCATTGCAACGTAAAACTAGTACAAAAAAAGTAATTTACGTCGTATATTTTAAATTTTTTACATAAATTTACGTCAAAAATTTACAAGAACCGACCTAAAAAAGTGGGAAACAAAAAAAAGACAGCAAGTAATAATATTTATATATATTTATAAGAATTAAAATGATAATAGTAATTAAATCTCGGAACTCATTTAATATTTTACAGATTTTTATTTTAGTTTTAGTGACTACTATAATAACACTTGTCGTCTTCAATAACCAAAGTGTATGATTATTAGTTTTGTACTTAATAAATTTAAAAAAATAAAGAAAATGGTTTTTAAAAAGAATTTTCTATTTTCTATTTTTATTTAAATTTAATTTAATTTTTTATCCTATTGGTTTCCCTCTTACAAAATAAAATAAAAAATGAAAAACTGTATAAACCAAGGGTGTTGTGCACCATGCACCTAATATAATATTAACATTGTTGTACTTCATTGTCTCGTGGGGTGTTCCCCTCCACGAGTGTTTCCTTTTCACTTTGTGTTGAGTAATTGAGATTTATACATACATATTTTTATATTACTATGATATTATTTATTTTGAATTTAAATTTTTAAGATTTTATTTTTGGTCATCTCTCAAAAGATGTTATATGTATTTTATAAACCTTCCTTTTCCTTCATGTTTCAATAATGTGAAACTTTGTTCCCAATAAATCTCTCCTTAAAAAAAAGATCATTATTTAACCTCCCTTCAGCAAAAATCTTTTTTTTTTCTTCATTTACAAGTATGTAATAGTGACCCTTAGAACTTTAGTCACTCCTGTTTAACTCTAGATACATGCACTACCGTTAGCTCACATCAAGGAGATACACTGGGATCCCACACTTAGATCCATCGTCTCCTATTGGTATGATATTTTCTACTTTACATATAAACTTTCATGATTTTACTTTTGATCATCTTTCAAAAGACCTCATATCAATGATGACTGTATATGCTTTATAAACCTTCCTTTTTCCTTATGATCTAATGATATGAAACTTTGTTTGTACATACCCCAACACTTGGAAACTCTTGGAAATTGGAATGAATTTGTTTACTTTAGGAGTAAATCTACTTAAAGTAGATTTACCCCATTCAAAAACTCATTTTTTATATCAAATTGCAATGATTCAACCATTCAACATAAAATTCTTAATATGTAAATCAAGTTTGCAAGTTTTTAAAAAATTTAAAAATCATTTGATATTTCATTTCATTAATTCAAATTAGAAAATTAATGAAGTGAAGTATCAAATAATTTTAAATTTTTAAATTTTTTTTTGCATACATGATTCATTCATTAAAAATTTTAAATTCAACGGTTAGATTATTGTAATTTGATATAAAACATGAATTATTAAATAGAGTAAGTTTAAAAAATTTATTCTTGAAATAAATGAATCTCTCCTCATATGTGTGTGAAAAATAATTATTTTTAAAAATTGATTTTGTAATATTGAATTAGATTGACATTCTTAAGATTGTGTTAAAGATTCACATCATCTAAAAATATGACCATACTAATAATATATGTTAAAAAAATAATTATTATTTTATAAGTCAATTTTAAAAAATTGAGTTACTCTTCAAATCACTGTTAAGAGACTCAATAAAAAGACACAGAAAAAATGAGCAATAAATTTACAAAAATTGAGTGTCCAAATGTCATGACTCGACAGCATTGTTAAACAGTGGAAAACTATATTGCATGCATGAGAGATAATTTTGGCGTATGAGTGAAATCACGGTGGATGGTTATTAATACAAAGATTCGTCAAATTTCCGAGGCTTGTGCATGGAACTCGATTGCTGAATTATGTTAGATTGTGGAATATTTTGCAGGCAACTCCATTTGATATATATTGGAAAGGATGGAGTATTCATTCTCACTCTCAAATTGTGGTGCTAAAATGTTAGCTCTCATGAGTAGTCACTCTCAAATTAATATGGCATCTTACTCTAACCAACATGCATATATTATGACCCAGTTTTCTCCGACTAATTTTGTCATGTTTTTGAGTTTTTTTCTTCTCATTTTTTATCCATAAAAATGATAGAAAGAGAATGACATTCTATAATTACCACATATGAATCAATAATATGTTGTTAATCTTCATATCAAGTATTATCGTCTAATTAGTAGTTAGTCAAAATTTAGTAATACTTAATTTAATTTAAATTTTTATTTTTCGATTTGCGAGCCAACAAATGCTTATCAGAAAATTTTCACCTCTAACATTAACTAAAAAAATTTCTTTGAATAAATATATTTTAGATAATTTTTTTAGTAATTACATAACATGTCAAATTGGCATGATAAAAAGGTAAACTATAACAAATTGATCCTAGATTAATTTATGTCAATTTATTATGACTTTTTTATTTTAATTTCTTTTTGTTTTCCTTTCCAGGATATATATAGAGTATTATAATACATCTCTATACCCACATTTTAAAAAACAATATATGAAACAACTTTGATTACCATATCCATATTCAATGATAACTATATATTCATATTTGCACCAACTATGTACTACTTATATTTTAATTATGTATAAAATAAATAAATTAATTAAAGGGTATTGATTAAAAAAAATTATACAACAAAATTGAAAATTTACTTTTAAATTATCCAGCATAAATTATTTAAATATAAGTCATAGCTTATAATTAAATAACACTAAATTATTTAATCATTTAATATTATCATTAGTAGAAGTAAAAACATGTTATACTAGACTTTGATAAATTGAGCCTAGCCGATAATATTTATATATTAAGCTTGAATCTATCATATTTAGAAATAAGTGACCAACTTTAATTGGTGGCAATGTAAAAAGACTTATATAATTTAATTAAGTAATTAAGATTTAAATCTTAAATTCTTGTAAATATAAAAAAAAAAAAAATTGAGAAAAGTTGTCTATTTTTTGGATATCTATTAAATATTTTAGAGAAATTAATTCTTATATTCCATAAATATATTTTTTAATAATGAATAAAAAAATAATAGAAATAAGTTGGAAATGATAAACGTTCATGACATTAATTACATAATAAATATGATTATTTTTTTTACAAGTGATTAAATTAAAAGTAAACAAAAGTAGATGTATCAATTATTCACGTGTGATTAATAGAATGTTACAGTTTCCTTTTTTTTAGTAACAAGAGTGTTACGAGGTTACTAAAATGTCTAAACATGATTAATTTTATCTCATAAATGAATAATAATATTTTGTATTTATTGAAATGTGTAGCAGTAATTTTTTTTTATATAACAAGTAGTTAACGACTATAAAAACTAAATCTAATAATATTTATATATGCGATTAAGTGCATGTCAATGTCATGCACGGGGTGCGAACCAGGTGAATGATTTTTGCATGTACGATAATCATTAGTCTTTTCGCAATAATATCTATTGATTAATAATTAACTTACAGATAAATATAACTTATGTAAGTGAACTTTTGACATAAAAATACATTAATACTTCATTTACATAAAAAAAATGGTTATATATAAATATATATTTTTTTCTACAATTTAATATTAATTTTGATATAAATATATTTTTTCTTTTATAATGTTTTTTCACTCAACTATTTTATTTTATTTCAATAAAATGGATTTTTCAGCCTACTTAATTTATATTTAATTACATGAAAAAATAAGCATTAAAGTTATATATGTATATATCCCTGTATACTTATAAATCATATTTTTTAACACATGTTTATACAAATTAAAATAATATAATGTGAATATATATACACATATTTATCAATATTCGATTTTTTTTATACAATTTTAAATATATACTAACAAAATTATATAAAAATATTTAAAACAATATAAAAAAAATCATACAATATAAAAATAAAGACTATATGTTTAATTAATTAATATCGGTGCACGACACGGTAATTATACTAATTTAGTATAAATATTGGTAGTTCTTCCTACTTAAAAGAGCAATAAAAATTGTTTTAAATTAATTAGCAATAAAAATTTGAGGATTTTTTCGCCTCCTACATCATTTTATTCTAGTATAAAAATTAATTCTCTTATTAAAATGTATATGTGACCATATTTAGTTGTAAAAGTATAAACTATTGTCACTTCTTCCTTTAGCATAATAAAATGTCGATTTTATTAAGATTGATTATAAATTGATTTTAACCTTTTAAAATTAAAAAAAGACTAAAAAATAAAACATTACAGTTTTTTTTTTTCTTTTCATTCTTCATATAAATTTGGTATACAAGCTGTCCAAAAGAGATCGGGGGAATCAAGGATAAAATAACCATTGTGCTGTCATGTCCAGTGACAGTGAAGTACTCCACGACCAATTTCTCAATGTAACAGACAAGCAGCTACTAGCCACAGTAAATAATTGGTATATAATATTCATTCTATTTTATTTTTTTTCTCCCATCTTTTGATGTCGACCAAGGCCAACAAATAGAAAAGGATAAAGGGATAAAATCGTTGGAGAGAAAAACTTGCCTAACTTAGACCCACCACTCACTTATCATATCATCATCCTCATAGTCAGCTCCATTTCAACCATTATGATTATCTTTTAGTACACTTTTTGATTCTAATTGAACTTAAGCATATATTATACATCAGACAAAAGGACACAACAGAAAAGATTAATAATAATATAATCGGATTACTTAGATGCTTATAGCATCTAAATAATTACTTCAGGACATGGTAGCTACATGGAAATATATCAAAATGTACAACATGGATCTGACATAAAATTTGTTAGTGCTCCAACAATGTGTGTGATAAAAATAACTCATCTCATGTTCTTACTTGATTCACTCTATTGTGTGAGAGTGTGATTGCTGCTAGAACATAATTATATAACAACTGGAGCTAAGCGTGACTAACAATTATATGATAAATTTCTCTTGAAATAAACTTGATGTGTTTCCTCTCAAGAAAAGAAAATATCCCCCACAACTTTAGTGTCCATTGCATTGAAAGATAGTACAAAGTTAAAATTGCGACATACTGTAACTTGGAAGTTGTTTCACTGGTATCTCTTTCCTCTGTCCCCATAGAAGGAAAAATTCAAAAAACAATTAAGGGTCTGCATGAGCAATTCAATTGTGGAACAAGCACTGACAAGTGACAACCAATAAGTTGACTAGGGTGAATACCACCAAGTTAATGTACATAAAGAAAGAACTAGGTGCATAATTTTAGGAATGTTGCTCACTGGGCCTTATATGTATGGAATTTACCTTTTAAGTGGAAAGATGAATCTCAACTCTTGGTTCAGTAGAGCCCAGAACTGGGGCATAGCTTGCACAAAAGATAGTGCTTCCACTTCCACATATATGTAATATGTTCTTCCCAAAACACCGGATTTATTTTTCTAATTTTTGGCGTCATTTAAACCTTATCCAAAAATGGTACATCTAATATAAAAGCCTTGTGAATTAAATTAATATAATAGTATATGGTAAAAGGATTTGAAGGCAGAAATGGTAAAAGAATTTGGATCCAGAACTAATTGTTTTGGTTGTTGATGACTAGTTTGGTTGAGTTCTGTTGGTACCAACTTATAGGGCACATGTCTACTTCAGTGCCAGTCTCATTGGTGCCAATGCAGGAAGAAAGGTACTTAACTACCCTTCAATGGCCTTCATCATCATCTCTTCCTATTTTATGAAGCACAATTGTGCAGTTAACAGATAACGACTTATAAGAAAGACACCGTACAACCTGGTACTGTAAATAGTAACTCTCTTCCAGATTTTAACTCTCGATATGGTTATTCTTGGACTCTAATGTTACTATATAAAGTAAAAAAATTATTCCTCAGAAACAACATAATGATATCTACTTAGAGAATAAATATTACTGCCGACCTTCAAAATTAGAAAAACATCAATATCAATAAACAGCAAAATATAATTAATTAACGGTTGGATAAGTTATAAGCAAGGTAGTTCATTGTTAGAGTAGTTTATTTATGTACGTACATTGTTTCTTTCCTTAATAATTGATTATATATATATATATATATATATATATATATATATTAATGTGGGAATTTTCTTGGCTCCACCAATTGACTATGTAAAATACATATAATATTTTTTTTTCTGCCTTTTTCATTCAACATCTCTCTTTTTCTGTTTCTAATTTTTTTCTTCGTTGAATAGATACAATTTCTCAGTTAGTTCAACTCCCCCTTCCAAAGAAATAATTGATTGCTTTACATGCTTCATGTGGGATGTGTGTGCAGTTCCCACTATGTTACTCCTACTAATCCATTGATTACATGTCTAGGCAGAAGCATATGAGTTGAGACTTGAGACTGAAACAAAAAGATAGTTCTTGGTATATTTTAATCTAAAAACCTTCTATAATTGCTGATAATTATGAAGCATATATAGATACACTTCAAGAGGTGGGTCACGCCCCAGTTCAATTGGCCTAAGACCAAACCCATCTTAATGTATGCCACATGTACAACTGCAGAAGGATGATGTCAGCATGAAGTGTGATGATGACCCATATAGCATCAATGTCTATCATTTAATATATAAAAATACTAAATATAAAGAATCTATTGCCACGCAACACTCGCTTCCTCCAGCATATATAGATTTGTAGATCCCGTTTCTTGAACAAGTATATCTATATATCACGTTCCGTTATCTGCCGCCTTGCTTGCTTGGAGTTGAGTGCTGTCGTGCCGAATAAATATTATCAATTATTTGATGAAATGTATCTGTTTTGTACGTGATAAACGCCATCTTCAATTTCACGTCACACCCTTATATATATAAATCAATTTATATCTATTCATTAATTCCCACCTCTTTGCACTTTAAATACCATCCTTCCAAACCAACACTTGCATCTTCCCCTGCCTCTGTTTGCTTGCTTCAATGGGAGATAGCAATGTCAACCTTCCACCAGGTTTTCGGTTTTATCCCACAGATGAAGAACTAGTAGTTCATTTCCTTCATAGAAAAGCATCACTTCTACCTTGCCACCCAGATGTCATCCCTGATCTTGAGGTCTACCCCTACGATCCATGGGAACTTGATGGTATGTACCACTCCTTGCCATTTTGAACAATGCTTCATGGATAATTAAAATTCACGTACACATACATGAGAGTTAATAAAATTAACTCACTTGTATGTTATGTAAAGATTGATCGAAATGGTAGTTTTGAACTATACAATAATTTCTTGTGCTTCTTCTTAGTAGATACCAAATATAGAGTAGATACCACATATTTAGTTAGCTAGAAAATTGAACTTTTGTTACTTAATTTGGTGTATTGTATGCATGTATGTCTGCATATTACTTAATTTTGGGTGGTCGGTGCATGTGGTTGCAGGTAGAGCTTTAGCAGAGGGAAACCAATGGTACTACTACAGCAGAAGGACACAAAATAGGGTGACTGGGAATGGGTATTGGAAACCAACGGGAATGGAAGAACCAGTGGTTTCAGGCACAAACAACAAGAGAGTTGGTATGAAGAAATATTTTGTGTTCCATGTGGGTGAAGCCGCTGCTGGTATCAAAACCAATTGGATAATGCAAGAATATCGTTTATCAGATTCTGCTTCCTCAACCAGATCATCCAAAAGAAAGTCACAACAAAAAATGGTAAGTTCTTATTATACATACATGTACAGATATAGATTATTAAGGTATATTTAAATGATCAAAACTAAAAGAAAAATACACATGACTTAATTAAATGGTCACGTAAGCAGTACTCATTTAGTACACATCCTCTTAATCAACGTGGAAAACTATTGTGCAACATTTTGATTTGATTGCTGATTTGTTTGTTTGATTCAGGATTATAACAAATGGGTGATATGTCGTGTTTATGAACGCAATGGAGACGATGACAATGGAACAGAGCTGTCTTGCTTGGATGAAGTTTTCTTGTCATTGGATGATGATTTTGATGAAATAAGCTTACCAAATTAGCTGATTATGCAAGTGATGATTTAGCTAGCTAGCCATAGTATGATATTCCAAGTGAATAATTAATTAAAATAATTGTTGCTTGTTATGGTTGATGTTATTTACCGGCTCTAGTTAAATCAAGTAGTGTAGGTGGCATTGTAATCAGTGAAATGGTTCTTGCCAGATTTTCATAGCAGCCCTTCAAGTGGGGCACTATGTAAAAAATTCATGGCCAAACAATATTATGTAGTATGACGTTATGCTTTTCAAGATCCCACTCACTAGCTATCCCCTTCAAATTTGTGTGCCCTTTCTTTTGTACAAGGACACGTGGATTATTGCCAGCAAGCACAGTAGCCCTTCTCAGCCGTTAATATATGGCTAAATAACCCTGCAAATCCGAATAATTAAGACGCCTCTTATTTCTTTTAATTTACATTTTTTTTTTCATTATTAGATACAATATTTACATGTTAGTTTTACAATGTATAGCGTGTGTATCAGTTGGCCAAAGTTGTTTCAACTTATTCAGAAGTTTCAAGTCCTAAGTATACTATATTAAATATTTAGAACAAGATTTCTCTCAATAAATGATACATGTAGTATTATTGGAATGTTAAAAAATTCATAACCTAAAAAGATACATATGAAATGGCATTCCTTTGATTTGGGACGTGCAGGGATGGTTGAGAGAAGAAGGAATATATATTCATGAAACGTGAGAAGAGGAAGAGAGTGTGGAGCCCATTAAGCACTGTAAGGGATGCTTGCAACTGAGCATTGGGCATTAAACTATTTAAGTCTTGTAGCTTTTGCCTACTTTTGATGGTATTATTTGGTAGCTAGTTGTCTTGGGTCACAATATTGCTATGCTAAGGAACGATTTCCTTTTTTGTTGGTTTCCTTGCATATATATTTGGGTGCCTGCTTAGGGAAGCATCAAGTCATGTGTGATGCAAGCACTCGCATGCTTTCAATCCTCAGCACGAGCACTATATTATATATTGTCACCATTTTGTGACACACCATTCATGATGCTTACCTTATTATTCTCTTGGCCTTCTTTCTCTTCTCGTATATATCCACTACAAGAGACAAGATAATTATTGGGGAAGGGCCATGTAATTTAATCACAAAGCTGCGTGTAAATTGGCTGAAGAATGGATAATCAAAAACAGATGAGTCCAAGAAACGGGGTTTTTTATCCTTATCCTCTACATCTAATCTACCACTACTATAACATCTAATATCAAATCTAGTACTATAGTTGGTTAGCTATAACATCTGATGGTAGAAAACTAATTAAAAATGGTCAATTAGTATAATAATAAAAATTTATTATTATTAATAAAATTAGTAAATGCTTCGGATCAATATAATTTTAAAAAATTAACTTTATAAATTCTGAATAGTTGGTAGCTAAAGAGTAAATATCTTACAATCCTACCGAAAAACTGAAGGCCTTAATTATTGTAGTTGGTAAAAAAAATGTTAAACTCCGAAGACTTTTTAAAGTTAAAAGTAAAAAATTAGTGATTTGTCACATCTAATAAGCATGCTTTAAACCTTTTTGTTGTTTCCATGAGTCTATGTCTATCACAATTCAAGAAAGAACTCCCCCACCCTAGTTGTTTCTTATAATAATAATAATAATAAATAATACTATTCCATTGCTTAATCATACCATATATAACCACAGAAGCCTCCTAATCATATACTCGTGCTTACTTGTTAACTTGCACATGTGACTTAAGAGAGAGAGAGAAAAAAGAAGTGTATTAGTGGACTTAGCTACTTCAAACTCAAGAGCCGAAAAACCATTACTCAAAACACATAATTAGACTTTGCTTCTCAATCCCTAGTAAACTATATGCTCCATATTAGACGTGGAAAGTTGAAAATGCCAAATCAAAATTGGACGTTATAATGATTGCCAAAGTCATGAAACCTTCCCAATGGGCCAAATTTTCAACTTGTTCATAAAGCTTTGGTTGATCGCAACAAAATTTTTGTACATAATGGCATATATATAAAGGGGAAGCAGGTGTTTGACATGTACCCATCCATCTCAATCTTGGCCTTTGGCTTGCTTGTTTTCTTGGTATGATGATGATGATTTTTTTTAAAACATTAGTTGGAAGGGCAACTAGTGAGAATGATTGTAAGTCCAATACCTATGTAGCTTTCGAATGAAGTTAATTACACCAATCGATCCATGCAACCATCAAAAGTCAACAAAAAGGTTCGAAATAAGTCAACCCCACACAAAATGAATCGAAAGGGAAAAGGCAATCAAAATTGAAAATTCTCTCAGTTTGGTTGTGCCAAGGGAAGAGAACTTGTCGCCTAAGTGATCAAATCTCAGCATACGCAAGAAAGAATAAGTGGAAAAATTGTCTTGTGCTATGTGCCATGAGAGTTTATAACTAAACCAATTGAGGGCCGTAGAAAAGGAATTAAAATATGATAAAGGTATAAAGTTTGGTTGATTTAAAAAATTGCTTCGAGGGGGGCAACAACTATGGCATTATGAAGACTAGTGGATGATGTAAGAATGACCACAGAACTCGCAAAACTTAATTGCTTTTAAATTCAAAATAAATGCGATAATAGTCCTTTGTCTAGCTTGCTATAACCTCTTGCAATCCCCAGTACTAAATTATCTCCATAGATTATTTGTGAATTGTGATTAAAATGTTTGTGTGTGAAATTGTTATGAGAATAATATAGAAAAAGTATACTTCATATATTTTGTGTCTTAATTTATAAATTCATATTGTTACGGAGTTAGTTTTAAGTGTGAAGCCAAAATGTATAACTCAAACTTCAAAGTGGTTAGCAAATTATATTTGAAGATTACTAGGTCCATTTTCTTAATAAAATGTTTGTTCTATTTTTCATTCAATAATTTTCACACCTTACACATATAATAATGAATGTGTAGCTCTTTTTCATGGTTTATTAAGAGACTTGGTTGATAATATGGAATGAAAAATATCTTTCGTAGATTTAATCTATGTAGTTTTGTTCTCTAACAACTCTTATTATTAATGCTTTCATTTCATCATCATCCCTCCCAAAAAAATACCAAAAAAATATTACTCTTTTTCTCATTTTACCACCAAGATTACTGATCTACAACCATAAATTGGAGTTGTTTGGTTCACATTACATGACTATTCATTCCCCTATAGATTAGAATCAAGAATCTCTAGCCCATATCATGACTATCCTATTAGATCATTTTGGTTGCCCTATTACGCTTCTAGACACATTTTTGACCCTTTCCGATCCACTTCTTCTATTTCCTTCCCAACAATCATATACACATATCCCATCAATTTTTCCTTATTAGCAACCACAACCACCACATTATTTTGGTTTGTCTTTTCCTAGACCCTCTCCTTTCATTTTTATTACTACTACAATCCAATTTTTTTTTCCTTCTACAATTATACCTAATTCATCCTCATTTATGCAATCCACATCACCTCCATCTACTTTTTTCCCAATTCCCATATTTGACCTCCTAAACTACAACTTTTGACATTTAATGGTTCTAAACCCATGGATTGGCTCTTCAAAGATGATTAATATTTCATGTTTTACCAGGTTCCATGCAATCAAAAGGTTCTTATTACACATTTTATATGCAAGGGGAAACCCTTACTTGGTTTAAATGGGTGTATCACAATCACTAACTTGGTGATTGGCATACATTTGTTAGGGTTTTGGAGATTTGTTTTATCCATTCCTCCTATGAGAACCATCAAGTTGAATTGTTGAAATTAAGGCAAATTGGTTATGTGGCTAAGTTTTAGGCAAATTTTGAAAAAAAATCGTGTAATAGGGTTTTTGGTGTGCCTCTTGATGTGATAAAAAAATTATTTTATTTCAGGTTTAGTACTAGAAAATCATAATGAAATGACTCTATTTCAACTCTAATCAATATCTCAAGCTATTGGACTAGCTGAATTGATTGAGGCAAAACTCAAAGATGCTAAACCTCGCAATCTATGTTCTAGCTTTTCACTATTCTCCAATACACCAAGCCTAAACCTTATACAACTCCATCTGTTAACCTTAACCCTACTACATTACCCATTAAACACCTTTCCTCACAATAATTATAGGAACGTCATGTTGCGGGGTGGGTTATGTTATAATTGTGATGAAAAAATTCGTCCTAGTTATAAATGTTCAACACTTATCCCATGATGAACATGACTTTATTATAGATTCTACAATTGAATTACTTGAAGATTCTACATTGGACGAATTTGATCCTAATCTAGCCATTCATTTTCAACTATCGTCCCAAGCATTCTCAAAGTCTCAATTTCAAAGGACCATTAATGAGTTATCTGTATTGTTGTTGATTGATACAAGAAACACCCACAATATTATCCAAACAAAGTTGGTTTGTCATTTGCAGCTACCTATGATACTTTGTTACCCCTTTTCAGGTGATGATTGGTAATAGAGATCATATTACTTGCCAGGAATTATGACCTAATGTTTCTATTGCTATTCATCATGTCATGTTTAATTTACTACTGTTATGTGATACCAATTAAGGGTGTATATGTGATTCTTGGTCTTGCCTGGTTATGCACATTAGGAAAAATTCAACCTAATTTTTCTATTCCTATCCTGACTTTTGATTACCACATTGAACCCATTATTATCTTAGGAGAAAGTTTTTCTCTTTCATTGGTTTATTTTCATCAAGTGTCATTACATGCATAAGATTCCATTACTTACGTACATCTTCTATCCATTTCCCACTTACCTGATGACCTTGTCATGAAAACCTCAATACCAACCTCACACCTTTCTCTGGTCTTTCATTCTAACCGTGAAGTTTAAATCTTCAATCACACTTATGAACCTTTTTTTAGAAAACCCCAAGACCTTCTTCCAAAACATCTTCATAACCATCACATTCCCCTGCTCCTAATCCCAAATCATACCATTACACTCATCCCAAAAGACTATTATGACCAATTTCATTGCATAAATATTTGAGAGTATTACCAAACCTATTATTAGTCTATTCTCATCACCAATTTTACTTGTTAAAGAAAAAAGATGAAACTTAGAAATTTTGTATTAATTATAGAACTCTTAATACTTTTACATATAAACTTAAATGTCTCATCCACTTTTCTACTTCACAGAAAAATCACCTAAAAAATATAACATACTTTTTTTTTAAAAAAATCTCTTATATCTCTTGACAACGTAAAAAGAATGGTCCCTGTATGATT